GCTTTTCATTCCTGATACCAGTACTTTGTCTTCTCTCTTTTTAAAATCATCTGTCATTCCAGGGATGTATTCATTTTATGTCTTCTCAAGGAACTCTCTTTTGATTGGTTGAATTTTCTCTGTCCTGTGTTTTCTATTTATTTAATCTTAGCTCTTCACTATTTTTCTTCTACATGCTTTAGGTCTAACTTTTTGTCCTTTTTTCTAGTTCTTTGAGATGGAAGCTTGGATAGTCAATTTTCAGGTTTTTTTTTTGTAATTTGAGGCTATAAACTTCCCTCTATAATTTGAGGCTATAAACTTCACCTACAAGTTTTGATATAACATATTTTTATTGTTTTAGCTAGCTAGCTCTATAGATAGATATGGATATGAATTTTTTCTGTTGTGATTTCTTGTGTGACTCATGGTTTATTTAGAAATGTATTGTTTAATTCCAAGCAGTTGAGAACTTTTTAGGTTCTGTCTTTGTCTCTGTCTGTCTCTATTAACTCCTACACTGATTTTCCAGTACTCAGAAAAGATAACATATTGTGACGGATTTTCATCAGTGGGATTTGTTGAGGAGATATACATATATATACTGGGGGTGCCAAAAAAATGTATACACATTTTAAGATAAGTTATCTATGCCCAAACAGTAGTTCGCTGTAATCAGAAGTGTCTGGATGCTGATGGGAACCACTTTGAGCACCTCTTGTAATTGCAGAAGGCAAACGTGACTTATATTCATCTTTTGTTATTGGTATATATTGAGTATTACAATTTTAAAACAGTTTTCTTTCTTAAAATGTATATTTCCTTTTTTTTGGCACCGTGTGTGTGTGTATTGCTGTTGGATGCAGTGTCTATACATGTCATATATGTCTACTAGGTCAAGTCTGATAATCACGTTTTACACATCTATTTTAATCCATCTCTCAATGTTTACCTTATGATACTGGGTAAAATGACACAAGTTGCATGTAATGACATGTCAGATGTGTTTGGACCTGAATCCACCGTCTTATTATTGGGTTTGCAGCTGTCCCAAAGCTTCACACTTGCTTTTCTCTCTCTCCTTGCTGTATTTTGGAGGAAGATGTCGTTGACTGCTCCATCTAATCTTTTTTTTTTTTTTTAAGATTTTTATTGGGGAATTGGGGGATGGGAACAGTACTGGGGCATTGGGGGAAGGGGAACAGACAAGTTGCTGTCGTTTTTGTTCTTCAGTCTAGTTGTGGAGGACGTTGCTTCACTG